GAGAAAAGCAGAACTCTAAAAACAAGTTATTGTTATACAAAAGTATTATGACAGACTTCATCACCGAAGAGTTCATACCTTCTTGGTAAATATCTGTTCTCTATTGAAGCCTTTATAATTACCTGTTTTAGAGGTTGGGTGCTGCCATTTGTGGGAGGGTGTGTGTTCTGAGATGTGGCTGTGAGTGTGTGTAAGGGGTGGGTTGCCAAAGCTGACATAAATGCAAGTTGTGATTGACAAGCTTCAGCTCTAACACTGGACTGGTGCTGTGGGGACGTGGGTCCCGTCTTACCCACTATGTGTGATGGTGAAGGCATGAGTGACACTGGGATGGGGGGCACTAATGTGTTCTCAATGTGCAGTGGAGAAAGGGGGGAGACAGAGGGGGTACAAGGGAGTGTCTGTCCTGGGGAAAGGTAGATGTGATTAAGAGAAGAGGAGGTTGAAGGGTTAGGGACAGTGCAAGAGTGAGGGTAGGAGGATTCACAGTCAGTCACAGCTGTCATCACCTGGACTGTGGGATACTGTGAAGGAAACTGGAGTGGAAAAAAGAACAAAAGGAAGAAGCAGAAGAAAATCAAATAGTCTAAGAACCAAAGTCAAACATAAACAAGTATATTCAAAGCTGTAGAAAACTGCTGAGACATACAATAACAACAAAATTATTGTATGTCTGAGCAAGGACAGGAAAAAAAAAGCAGGTAAGATAAGATTAGTGTAAGTTTGTGTAAACTTCATTCTACTCCTTTTCCAAATACTGTTTGATTTGTGTTGAACATGGCAGTCAATATTGTGGTTTACTATTAATATTCTATATCGATTTTCTTGTTTTGTTTTATTTTATCAACATGATCCTAAAATATCAATGTGAGAAAGCAGTTGGAACCGACTGTAAATACCTGGGATGAATGTGCTGCTGGTTGAAAGTTTGAAATCTGCAGAGGTTGGAGTTGTTGGTGGACAGCAGACTGAGCAAGAGGCGGTTGAGGAGGAAGTGCCTGAGGTGGCACACTGAAAGTTGACTGGCCTAGATTCTGCCCAAGGCCCTGTCGGTCCTGTCCAAGCTGAGATATGTTCTGACTAGCTAGGATGTTCTAGAGGAGAACAAGAAGAGCCGGGAGAAAAGAAAGGGAGGGAGTTCAATAATGGAATTGATTCAAGTTTCATCCCTCAGTTTGGAAATCTGCTTTTCCTGGTATTGACCCAGATCAAAATAGCTCACAGCTTCTATCCTGAGTCTGACCCTAACCTTTGAATCAGTCTGAGTCTGCTGCACAGCACTGTGTATCACGGAAACGGAGCAGGCCAGAGAGGGCAGGCGGATGCAGCAGATAAAACCCTTATTGTTTTCATTACTGTTTCCATTATCTCTCTGTTGGCTGTTGTCCGAGGAAATTCCTGTTTATCTGACTGCTCCTTTTTTTTTTTTTTTTTCATACACCTAATGTCCACCAACACAGCTGCTTCCAATTCAACTGAACCAAATCAAAACCAGGCACTGTGGCTCCAACCCTAGCATTTTCATTAATAAAAAGATTAGCATGTTTACAATAATTATTTCCTCTCCCTCCCCACAGTGAAAAAGTGTGCACAAACAAAGGCATTCTACCTGATTCAGGAAAGCAGCATTGCAAAGATAGGGTTGAAACTGATGAAAAATAAAAAAACAGGGTGAGGTAAGAAGAGGGAAAAAAACATCGAATCAAAGCTGTGCAACTCTTTACGCCACCGTTCTACAATGTACTGTAGTGTAGTGTTTAGTGATAGTAAACACTGTGCACTTACCTGGTTAGCTTCCCCATAGATCTGTGAAGCAGTAGACTGTGCAGGCAGGTACTGGCTCTGACATGTTGCTGACTGTGTCTGCAGCACATTGTGGGCTGAATGGGCATAGCTCTGAGAGGCGGTATCAGGTGGACCTGGAGCAGGGAAACTCTGGTGTATGACTCCAACCTGCACAGCTGGGGTCGATGTAGGATGAGGTTGAGCAACTGGTTTCTGAACCTGCTGAACTGTAGACTGGGATACATCCTGAATCGGTTGGGGTACTACAGTCTGTATGGTTGTCTGACTGTGCTTCTGCAGAGGTGGGATCTGTACTTGTTGCTGAGCAGGTGGCTGGTGGCTTTGTGGATGGTGGGTCGTTTGTTGTGCCATATGTTGGTGTACAGTGTGTAGAGTTTCTTGACCATGCTGCTGCTGAGGCTGTATATAAGCTTGCCCAGCATGCTGTGTTAGTCGTATATTGGACTGAGTATTTTGTTGTAAAGGCTGTTGGTGCTCTGGCTGCATGGGTATTTGTTGGTTGTAAAGTGCTGGTGTGGAAGAGCTCTGGCCAGACTGCTGACATGGCAGCTTGACTGCAGCTTGAATCTGTTGCAGTGCTCTGAGAGCTTGTGGAGGATGACACTGGGCTGTGGCTACAGATGCAACAGGAAAGCTTTGTGCTGGCTGCTGTGTTGGCAGAGTGGTTGCTGCTGTTGCTACAGTCTGTTGCTGAACTAGACCAGGATACCCTGATGCAGATTGAGCCTGTTGCTGAGTTGGGCCCACACAGTTCTGACAAGTTTGTTGAACATTCAAAGGGCAAGTCGAAGAGCCTGCTGTTGCTGCCTGCTGCAGTTGGTAGCCTTGTGTTTGATAGCTCTGTGCAACATGTTGTGGTACGGCTGATGCAGCTTGGGTCTGTTGCACACTTTGAGATGTGAAGCCAGCAGCACTGGCTGTTTGCTGAATGTTGACTGAGCAAAGACTAGCTGGATCTGGTGTGGGAACACTATGTTGGCCAGTATATGGAGCAGTAGGGTAGCTGTGTCCTGGCTGGAGATACTGTAGTGTTGTGTGCACTGCTGTGCTGGATGAGGGCAGGCCCTGGGCAGATGGTTGATTTTGGTGACCTGTCGAACTATTCTGAGGACACAAAGAAGAGAAATACTTATAGGAACCTTTTGTAAGTTAATTTTACTGGTCAACGATAAAAATCACACTAAGTGTGCCCATTGTATGAAGTCATACAGGATGCAAATACAAAGACAGGATGAGCCATGAAATAAGTTAATGAAACAACTGTTTCAACAATGAGCAGATGGTGACAGGTGGATGCTAAAATAAGAACATAAATGAAAAATGGTCGAAGAGGCAAAGAGACAGAGATTAGACAGTTGCCCCTTCTCCTTCAATCAGAGATCAGCTATCCAAGGCAGGCTAAGAAGCAAGACAGCTGTTGCATTGGGCCAGTAAAGCAGAAAGGAAAAATGTTAAAACATAGGTCAGCTCTAGAGGGGATTGGCTAATCAGCAGGGAAACATAATCCGTTAAAGATGGTGCCATTGTCATTCAGCAAAAGCAAGCATATTATTAACAGGATGGTCAGCTCTGTATGCCTTTGCAGGCAGAAAGATTTAGACAGAGGACAGGAGATCAGACCGGCTCCATGCAGAATAATGCTGGAACTGCTACAGTCTGGCAGAGAGGGTTAAGCAGGAGTTAACTCCAAATCAGCAACTATAAGTGACTTGTCTCCTATTATAACCTACCACTCCTACAGCCCTGGTAACTTGCTGTTCTCCGTCACAGAATCTATCCTCGCAATCCTGGAGGGGTTCATGTTCCCCAACTGAACTGCCACTCAGAAGACGACTCTTCAGACTGTTGTCTCCATCACTGCATGTAGGCCTGTGGACAGCTGAGGAGTTCAGCATGGAAGCTTGGGTGACTTTGGTTTGACAAGGGGTTGCTTTACGGCTTATTATTTTGAACAGGGACTGCTGAAGAAGTGAGAAATCAGAACTATCACTTGGACCTTTCAGCCGTCCATAATCAGGGACGTTTTTTGTACCAGCCGAGGAAAGATGTTGTCTAAAGTCACAGGGACAGAGGTGATTTGGAATGAGAACAGAAGAACGACAGTGACTGCCTTCTCTTGACCTTAGAAGAAGCAAACAGAGACAGGCCCGACACATTTGGCTTTGATGCACTGCCACATGGTGGTTGTGATGGGAGTTTAGACTAAGAAGACTACTAAGGTCAGAGTGTCTGCGTCCAGTTTGGGCAGTTATGTTCTCAGACGATTGTCTGATGCTAGTGTCACTAAGGCGGCGGCACTCGGAATGTGGACTGACAGGGGTAACCTGCAAAACTGGCAGAGCACTCTGGGAGCAGAGCCCTTCCTCAGCCTCTGAATGAGGCTCAGAGAGGGTAAGTAATGACTGGTTCTCTGGTTCTGTGGGGGTAAGACTCATTGATCTCTGAGAGTGAATGGACTGCGCATGGAGTTGAGAAACACGGTTTGCCCTTTGAGTGTCAATAACGGGGGCACTTCCTCTCCGAGCTGCAGCTCCAAAACGATTCCTGAGCTCTGGGCTCATTGTGGCCCCCCAAAGTTCACCCTTTTCACAGGAGTGAGGTCGATCCGTCAGGGGAGGGTTACCACTCTGGCACTGATCAAGAAGCAACCCAAAAGCAAAACACATTACTGAAAATGGTCTCATAACAAAATTATAAGGAAAACATATGACGAGATGAGAATGGACATTCATATGCATTTCATACGCATAAGTGTATAGATGTGCATGTGTGTTGACAGTGAAGTTGGCTTGTTGTTTCCAAGTGTACATGCTGTTCCTGTGTTTAGTATCACAGCCCCATGAGCTATGGCTGACTTCAAATCTCATAAATCTGAATGTACATGGCCCAACTGGGTGTGTATGCTTCTGATACAGACCTGCTGTGTTGCCATAGTAATAGGCTCCAGCAGGGACTGGTAGAGGACACTGTGTTGGCTGCTGTGGGAGTCTGAGTACACAGTTGAGCCCATGCCACTGTCAAGTGTGCTGTCTGCTGCAAAGAGATACAAAATGATGCACTCATAAAAAAATTAAGTTTAGCAAATGTGTTTCTGTATGAAGAAGAAAGGAATCTTACATGTCACTGAGGTGGCACTAGCTGGTAGGTTACGCAGCCTGTTGTGCTGATCTGTTTCCGGCTCTTCTGGCTCCAGCAAAGGTTGTCCTACATGTGCAGCCCCAGCAGGGATTCCCTGAGATGGTGTCATCTGGGCCCCATGTCCCCCTTCACCTTGATCTACTGCAACCGCAGCAGACACTGTTCTCTCTCTTCTCCATTTGATCAGAGCCACACGATCCCTAATTGACTTTCCCACAGTCTTAGCATCACTCTCCTGGAAGAAGCCTGACTCCACCTGACAAAGCAGAGGAAAGAGTATAACTTCGAGGATATTTTTAGCATGGAGCATGTGAGAGAAGAGGGTGCATTAAAGGGGGGAGTGTGTAAGGGAGGGAGAAAAGTAACAAGTAAAGGAAGGAACAGAAAATCTATTTTAAGAGCGATCCAAGCTGTGGGGAACTGTTTCTTTTGTCAGCAGCTTCTTTCACTGTTCAAAGCAGAGAACTGTCTAGAATTGTTCAATCTGCAAATAACAAAGATGAGACAAAACAGAGAGAACACATTTTGTACACTATTTTTTTCCGTGTACAATGAAGAATTTCAAGTGTTGTCTCAAATCCAAAAGAGGAAGAAGTCAAGTTTAAACTGTCTACAGAGCTTTAGCTATTTTCATACTTGTGAAAATTGTGATATATTTTGTCTGTAAAGAAATGACTCATTAGAGTAAATAAGGAGTGACATGACATGGGAGCATGCTCCACATGTCTGCCCTCATCAGAACACAGAACGTTACAGAGAAGTCTTTTTTCCCAAAACATCACAGCCTGGTCAAGGCCAGAACAGCACAGACAAATGGAGAGAGAGAGAGCAGACAGAAACGAGAACAATATGTGTGGGGAGAGAGAGAGAGAGAGAGCAGACAGAAACGAGAACAATATGTGTGGAGAGAGAGAGAGAGAGAGAGAGAGAGAGAGAGAGAGAGAGAGAGAGAGAAACAAATAAAAATTAAGAAACTTCTGAATACAAGAGACAAAAGACTCTCAGGTGACACACCTTACTGTCTTAATGTACTCGCACATACTTTACATATACATTCATCTCTGTACAATATTTAATACCAGTGTGGATGCTACTTGATCTTGATGTAAAGCATAGGCCCGACATAAGATAGATTTATTTAGATATATTTTAAAGAAAGTGTTTTAGTCTCTTCTTGAATAGTTCTGCCAAGAGGATACGTTAGATTAGATGATAATTTAAAGGCTCTAGGTTGATAATATCATGTCCTCAACTGAAAGAACTCTTCTGTGAAAACCATCAGATAAGACACCAAGACACCCACAGGACCAGCAACAAAACACTATCCCAGGAAAAAAAAAATGGAGAAAACTAAAAAAATCCAGCCACAATCTCTTTATTCCTGGAAAAGCAGAGTGAGTTATTATCAGCAATCTGCATTCCTTGATGAAGAGATACAAGTACTGGGAGCTGCTACAACACACCAAGCCACTTTTAAAAATGCCTTAATAACATGATTAAAATTAACTTTGAACTTAAAAGTTGCAAATAAGATGACCGTTTCTTTAAGGTAGACATCCCAGTTTAATGAAACATGTGCAGAAGCCAAGGCCCAGGATTCCACATTTATCTCCTTATCTTTTTTTACATTTCAAACATTTGCATGACTGCATCTTAAATTACTAACTCACCATCTCTTGTGCCACAACTTCAGGAACCTCCTTCTCCAAGTCAAATGTGAACTCTATGGCTCCGCTCTCCTTGTATTTGCCTTTTAACTTCTTATGGTCTTCCACCCAAAGTTTCAGGGCTATTGAGGCCTTTTTGCAATCATCCTCTTCAGCTAGCTCCACCCGTACCCCTGTGTCCTCAGCAAAGAAAGCGTGGTTTAACAGGTCCTTAATTGTGTACCTGAAAAATTTAACAGCAACGCTTTAGACTCTGGAAAAATAAATACATTTCCATGAACTGATGCCACTTATCTGTAGTGTACCATATTTGTAGATAAGGAATGATATGATTAGCTATGCTACAAGGACATCTTTGCCAAGTATTAAAGTTATCACATTATACATTGAAAACCTTTGCTGCACAAACAAAGTCACTCACTGAACCCAATGACACTTCAATAAAAAAAAGCCACTGAAAGCTAAACAAGAGTTATTTTCCCCTCTGTACACAAACTCATTGTGTAAAAGAAATGAATGACACACTGCAGATATGGTGGGAGACTGCAATGCTGCTAAGAGCCAAACTGTCAGCACCACCGCAATGAAGCGTGGGAGGTGAGACAAGGCTTGAAAGATGAGAGGGCTTCTTGTGGGCATAGTTGGCCGGAAACTGGACAATGATGGCAAAAGTCACTCACCGCTCCTCTTTCTTTTGGCAGATACACTCTCCTATAATCTCCTTGATTTCAGGATCCATGACCTTGTTGTAGCTGGCTGGCTTCACTCCCTGAGGAAAGGGAAATATTAAACAAAATGCTGAGGCCACAACATGAAATGATACTGTGTCGAAGACAAATGATACAGGAAAAACAAAGAGAAAAGAGAAGGGACGTTGTAAAGGTATTCCACCCTAAATTTGGTCTTTTACACGTCATCTCATACTGTAGGTTGTTGAGATTTTTAAGGCCCAAGGTGGATTCCAAAAAGTGCAACAGCATCCATTGAACACAATGAGTCTGCCCTGGTTTCTTATATTTTGTTTTTAAACTGAAGTAATGTGATCATTTATTTTTCAGAACATTCACAGCTCAGTGATGAAAAGGACAGCAGGAGTTATTGACATTTTCTTTATACATTTTGGTTGGGATTTTCAACATGGAGATTTTGATACTCAATAGATTACATTGTGTTCATTTTTTATTTTTTTTTTAAATGGATTTGAAATCATTAATTCTTAGGAGTCAATTTATGCATCTAAGATATAAAGTGTAGGCATCCCCTGGTTTAACATTTCTTCCAGTTACGCAGCTGCAAGCTGTACATGCTCAGGGAGTAGAATAAAGCTATCAGGGTTTCTCTTTGATCAATCTCCTATTAATATCCTGCAGTGGTCCCTGCAGGCAAATCTAATATGCATACAGTAACAATTCAGAGAACAGTATTTAGAGGTAGCTGCACTGATGCAGCCCAACCCACTGACATGAGCATTGAGCATCTCTTTTTTAACAGCAGGTGAAACAGTCATCTCCCAGAGACTAAACCTGCCAAGTCTCAGGAGTAGAAAATCAATACTTTCATCAAATCAGGAAGTCTATCATGACTTTGGACACCCTCCTGATCTTAAACCAGTTTGCTGAAAGCTTTGCTATCAGAGGCAAGCTCAGTGATACAGAACTGAATACAGCCTTAAGGCTTTGTCTAAAGAACAAAGCAGATTTGGACTCCTTCTGTGACACCATATGGCTCATTAGATTCTTCACCCAAGAAATTCAAGGATGAGGAGGATACTATCTAGCTGAAAACACAGCAAAGCTTGCACTATAGCTGCATCCCTACAATGTAAAACTCCTTAGACGTATTATGAGGTAAAGTACGTAGCTTAAAACATTCCCAACAACACTCTGACATTTTCCAGTATAACTAATCGTGACCCTGTACAGCAACAAAGTGCTTCCTACAGGTATTGTCTTTTTTAAGAACATTGTTGCATTTTTTTCCTCCTTGTACTTTCTTTAAACTATTGTTACATGTATTTGCATACAGCAAATTAATAAAGTTGTTGTGTACTGTATGTGACAGCTAACAAGATGTCTGAAAAAATAAACAGGAGCAGGACTCACACTAGTGACTTTGCGGTATATCTGAGCAGCATTCTGACACTCTGAGTAGGGATACTCTGAGGTTGCCATCTCTAGCATACACATGCCAAAGGCGTAGACATCCACTGCCTCATCATAGTGTTCCTCATACATCTCTGGTGCCATAAACTCTGGGGTTCCTTAAAAAGAGATGAAGAGTGTCAAATGGATGAACATTTTTTTAAACATTTATCAGCCGAGCAACATTTTTAAGTCTCCCACCTATGACACTTTTGGCAAAGGAAGCAGCCTTAAGAGTTGCCAGTCCTAAATCCCCTATCTTGACCGAGCCTGTAGGTCCAGTGATGAAGATGTTATCACATTTGAGATCTCTATGAATGATGGGAGGGGTCCTGGTATGAAGAAAGTGAAGGCCTTTCAGTATCTGTCTGCACCAGCTCCTCAGCACTTTGGGTTTCATCACCTTGAAACGCTTTAGATATCTGTCAGAAGGAAAGAGAGCACATTATCTAACAATCATATGAGTTGAAATATATCGTTTCAGTAAGATGTAGAAGGGATGACATTTCTTTGACAGATTGAAATCATAAATAGCTTTTAATCTGTGTATCTGATACTTATTTCTAAGACATTCTTGTCTTCAATATCTGCCTTTACCAATACTCACGTTTTTAGTGTTCCTGATGTCATGAGTTCGGTCACTAATACAATGCACTTCTTTCCTTTCATGGGAGACTCCCAGAAGTCATAGAAACGCACAATGTTGGGATGTTGAAGACCCTTCAACATCTCTGCTTCCTCCTTAAAGCGCTGACGTTCCACTTTTGACAGCTTACGATCCTAGAGAAAAGATGACAGATGTAGAAAACTATAATTAGAATCAAGTCCGAATGATAACATACTTGTTTTATCATTTGTGCACAGCCAGATGGAAAAGGTGGTCAGCTTGGAGGCACTTCACTGTATATTTAAATCATGCATCCAGAATGTTGGAGAAACATTGTGTGAGAGGGGGGTTAGTGACAGTCTTTGAGCCATATACTCATCTCTAATTGGACCATATGTATCGTAAAGCTAATGGCTGTCAGCATTTGTGTGTGGGAAGAAATCAGATATGTGTCTTTCTTTTGCAGACTCAGCCTAGATAACATCATGTGTTTGATATTTTAAGCATAATTTCAGTCTCATGTAACTACTTGTTTGGTTTTGCAGGAAGACATTAAAGCGAGACAACACTGACTACAGGGGAAGAATGAGCACATACGTTAACATGGTCACACCCACTACACACTGCGGCTAAAGGTTATGTGTCATTGATCCCCTCCATCTTTCTCCATCTCCTTCACTTGCTTGCTCACTCTCTCATCCACTACCTTTACTCCATTCCCCCTTCCCCCATATCTGCAATCTGTCTCCCTCTCTGCACCCCTAACCAGCCACTCCCACTTCTATATCCAAACATCCCCTGCACACACAAACACAGCTTTGTAACCGCATCCTCTCGAATTCTCGAATAAAGGCTATACTCAATCTGATGGCATCTGACGCTCGGTATTGTTTCTTTTAAAGCCATTTGGCATCTTACCATCTACAGTACTATAGCATTGCCTTATGTAACAAACACACGTACTTCAGAACTGAGCATGGACTGGAGGCATGACCCCACCCCTTAAAGAGACGGATGACACAGCTGATGGAATGCAATGAATACATCCTAGCGGGATCTAATCCATTTAATTATTCAACCACAGTGGACTCCAGGAGCGATGAAACAACAGAGAAAATATAACTTAACGAAGTTAACAATGAAGCACAGTGTAATGTGATGCAGTGTGTTAAGGAGTGGACAGTCAAGATGATAAAGCATGTGTGTGTGTGTGTGTGTGTGTGTGTGTGTGCATGCGTGTCATATCAGGTTTTGTGTGCAAGTGTTTGGGGGGGGGGTGGGATTTTCACTGCACACTTCTAACGGCCCATGAATAATTCAGTTCTGCAGAGAACCCTTTCTACTGAGGCGAACTGCATCAGCAATGGAAGGCTGGGGCTGGGGCTGCTCAAGTTGGGCTGGGTTATCCCCAAGTGCTCCTTGCTCCACATAAGCAGCACGTTGCCCAAAGTTTACCTGAAGCTCAGGTCAAAAAGGAGAGACAGCAGGGATACAAAGGGAGGAGCTTAAAACAACTTTAACCCTTAAGCACTGCATATTTCCTATCTTTTTCTGCTTTTACTTCCTTCTCTCAGCACCTCTACTCTCATCTTACAGGAATCCTGCAGGTAACCTCTCGACCCCCACCACACAGTGTTCCCTGATTACAAATCACACTCCTGGCACATTCACATCCAGACCTCCATCGGTACTTGTACTGTTTTTCCTCTCTCCTCTCCTCTCATTGGTTCTTGTGCATAATTCAGAAGCCACATGTAAGCTCAGAAGTGTTTGGGCACAGCATGGTGAGATACACAGACAGATACATGCGCATTGAGCCACCAGAAGAATATGACAGGGCAAACAGTCATATATACATACACACATCCACATTGTGCATCTCCCGTATGCATCAATATAAAACAAACTTTTTGATGCTTTTAAGGTTTAGTTAGGGATGTGTTTTTTTCTGAAAGTCTTACTCTTTATAACCTCACATTTGAATTTGGAGCAATGCTGCAAATAGATTTTCGACTGTAGGGTAGGGTAGGGTAGGACTGTTAGTATGTTTTCATATGCTTATCAAGCCTGAATGGTACACCAGGATTAAGAACCGGCTCAGCCGTCTGCAGCACAGTGTGGAGCCACCCAGGAGACGTTAATCAGATAAAGAAAGCCATTAAATGCACACAGCACAGTTAAATATATTGTAACGTTAGTGAGAAACAATCTATAAATATGTGCTCCACTCTGTTGTCAACCTCTACACATAAGTGCTGAATTTGTAGTCCTACAGCTCTGGCAGCTCATACTCTAAGACAAAATGTCTGAAAAATATCAAACAAGGGGCCCGTGGATGCTAGAGGGAACAGGTTACAGATTGTGATACTGGTCCTGGGAACTTTGCAGGCTAATACACCATGTAATTCCAAAGGTATGCGTTCAAATCAAATTCCTGGCCTTGTATCACATGCCCTCTCTGATGCATACTGTCCATTTCAGAAGAATGTGGCTGCTTTACGGAGAGATGATGATCAGCTTAGCTTCTTTAAATGGCAGTAAATGCTCAATTAGAGAAGCTTTATTTGTTTTTGTTTTTTAATAAAGGCTCTTACTGTCTAGTTGTCAGATAGTCATAAACACATTCAATGTCTCTAGTCTATAGGTAGAACATGGCACCAACACTGGCACATAGTCTGAATTTTCAATTACAGTGAGGCCACTTATGCTACAGAATGTACGGTATGCACTGGTAGATGGTATCACACCAGCAAAATACCAAGCTGAGTCTACTTTGAAGCAGCAACATGTATCTCTGGACACTGGTTAAAATGTGCATTTTCAATGTGCTTTCTCGATAAAGCCACTTCAATGCCATCGGTTAACCTGGGAAAGATATTATATTCTAGATAATTGAGGGAAAAGGCATTGAGGCAACTCTTTGTAATGCAGTCAGTATCTCTAATCAAGCCTATTTATTTGTTTATCAAACTCCAGCAGAGAAAACACACACTCACACACACGCACACAACATTAAATCTGTCAAACAATAAGCATCAGTCATGGGACAATGGTTGTGAAACATCCAACGCTCTAACAAGAACAAGTACTTATAGAGCAGAGAGCTCTGCAAGACTGGTGATGGATTTATTAGTAAATTATCATTTCTGCCACAAACAGAGGTGTTATGAACAAAAACAAATTACAATGCTCAAAAACACCATCATTAAAAGTGATTGTTTGTAAAACAGTCCTTCAACAATTGTTTTTGGAGCAGCCGAGCAGCTGAGTAGGTAAGTCAAAAAATTGTTCACTGAAAAATGTATGACGCAGCCAAATTTTCCGGGTGCCACTTTTTGCTTGATAAAAAATAAAGTTGACTGCCACAGAGGGTTATAGCAGGATAAGTGCCTTCAATTGATTATCCACTAATAGAACCTGATCGTCCCTTGTAGAGGAGGAGGAGCTGTCAGGCTAAAGAGTGTTGACGCAGGCCTCCTCTGAGGAACATCAATCTAAGAGACATCTGACAGACCCACAAGAATGACTGATGGAGGCTGACGATGTTCTCAAGTACGGAACATTTTTTACTTTATAAACACACACTCGGAAGCAGAAACACCCATGGGTAATATATTATTAACACTAACTTCAATTTGTCATCAAACACAACATACACACACACACACACATACACTTCATCACAAGCAAATTGATTTAGAAATGCAAAAAAGGTTAGTCATGACATTTACCAAGACAGATTCTTCACAGCCATAACTGAAATCAGATACCCAAATAAAAGGGTGTGAATAATCTCACACAAACCTCTAAGAGGGGAAGATAAAGAGAGCTTCTGTTAGGCCTACAGCACATCCAAAAGCCACAATACAACATCACAAACCACTGTGTTACTTGTTTATTGCTTTAAAATTGCATGCACTGGTTAACTACAGCCAAATTGTTTTAACTAAAATAAGTGCTCACCGCAAATTATACATTATTAATTTAAATCTAAATTGATTAGAGCTGGGCAATATGGACCAAAACATTATATCTCTATTTATTTTTTTGTTGAATGGCGATACACAATATTTTTTCTATATAGAATTTAAAAAACATCAGTTCTAAATCAAATCCACATGGGCCAAATGCCAGAGATCACACAGGCAGTTTTTATTAACATCCAGCTGCTCAATGTACATGAAAACAAACGGAACATTTGTGATTAGGGGTGGGAATCACCAGAGATCCAATGATTAGATATCATCACAATACTTGAGTCACGATTGGATATTATTGTGATTTAAACATTTTGTGAAATGCTGAGTATTGCGATAAAATAAATTGTGATTCAACTTTTTTAGCTGCAAACTATGTCCATAAAATTAAACCAAATCAAGAACTGTTTAGTCAAATAAGAAAACATCATTCATATCACTTCAGTCTTTTTATTTTTACACAATGGGAGTTGGTCCACAGACTGACCAACACTGTGATAAAAGTTAAACCCTGTAAAAGACTGCATGCACCTCACATTCTGAACTGATAGTTCAAGAACAGATTAGACTGAAATACTGTTTGAACGAGAAGCACAAATAATTGTTCTTTCCAAAGCTAATTTTCTAATGTTTCAAAATGTGTTAAATCCTTTCAAAATCATTGAAGCAGCATATCCATATGTTCAGGATTTTATTGGCTACAAAAAAAACGCCAATCATCGGCACCGTTGCGTGCAATTAGCCGGGTAGAGAAACATCAGAACCTGCAGCACCAACGTTTTTGTTGGAATATTATGAAAGGGAGAGTACGGTAAATCTTCAAATGCAAAGTCAAACACTGTAAAAAGTTTGTCAGTGGTCTGTTGGATAGATTGTAGCTGTTGTGGTGGCTGAATCTTGAATTGGTTAACATGGTCGGAATAAAACTAATCGTAGCTTTCTAACAACACGTGAGTAAACTCTATAAACGGCAGCTGTATTAATAATCCTAATAATTAGAGAATACACATCCTGCCCGATGGCGCGATGTCAGATTTTTAACTGGATAATAAAATACACACAGATGAGGTTTGTTCACAGAATGGTACAGGAAACATTGGTTTATATTTTGTAATGCAGGCAGTTTGCCATCTTTTACTCAGAGAGGGAGAGAGGCGGAACATTAAATTGATGAAACATCTGTTAGTATGTTTAAA